CGTCCCTTCCCTCCAAGAAATTTTCAAACCAAAGTTGCACTATCATCCTTCTACTCGCAATCGACCATTGCGTTCCCCCATAAAACTTAATAAACCCTAATATAACTTAATAAAACTTAATAAACATAACATAAGAAAATTGACCTTCGTGACATTACACAATTACTCTACTTTTGAAAAAGTAAAGTTATTGCAATTTTTGGTTTTCTCGGTTTATTTCTATTATTTTTATTTCTAAACTGTATCCTACTTAATTTTTTTTGGACATCTTTAATCCCTTAAATGCAACTTCTTTCTGTGTATCATCTAAAATTGTGTCTTATCGCTCACATAGATTGGTATCTATTTTGCAATTTACTGATGGTTAAAAATTAAATTTTCCGGTAATTGTATGATTCTAATCATTTTTGTTTATGTCGCGATTAATTCTAGTTAATTATTTTTGCATCTATAGTTTCTTTTTTTAGTAACTATTTTCAAACAAAAAATTATCTTCTCTTGTCCATTAAGTAGCTACTTTATTATTTATGTATTTTAATAAATTTTTTTTTACTTTATTCAACTTATTGTGTCGAAATAGAACCTACTTTGAAACATTGACATATAAGCGTTGAAAATCAAGGCGGTAATAAAATTTTTTATTTTTTCAATGTTTTAATTAACTATAGTATTTTGTTAGCATAGTTTTATTAAGTTTAAAAAAGATTAGTTTGGACTGAAGTTCTACTATGAAAATATAAAAATATTGCGTGAACAGTATGTCGTCAATCTTACTACTACCTCCATCTTATAAAATATAATTAAAGGTCAACTTTTTATCTTCTACTTTTAAAATTTGAATCCCTCTAACACTCTTCTTGTATTTTCTTAACTTCCTCAATTCAAATTACTTTGTCCTTTTCATACACTGTCCTTACAGTTTTCAATACCCCTTCCCATTTCCAATTTACCCATTCTTCCCCCACCACTCTTAATGATAAATCCCAAATCTAAATCGCTGTTGGGTTGGCCCCCCTTTTTTCCCAATTGCAATTGGCCCGCAATCCTTCCTCCCCTCCCACTCATTTTTCCCCATGGCAATTTCAAAATCACAATTGCCTATCCACATTTCGAATTGACCCCTCTCCAATTTGGCCCCAATCCTTCTCCAACTCATTTTCCCCCACGGCATTTTTCAAATCACAATTGCCCATTCACATGTCGAATTGAACCCTCTCCAATTTGCCCCAATCCTTCTCCAACTCATTTTCCCCCATGCCAATTTCTAAATCACAATTGACCCCCAACCCTCTTCCACTTCCAATTGGCCCCTTTTTTCCCCCCATCCCCACACTCCAAGACAATTTTCAAACCAAAGTTGCATTACCATTTTTTACCCGCAATCGACCATTTCATTCACCCATACATATTCTCTCATCAAATGGCAATTTACCAAATGCAATTCTTTGTCTTTTTCAGTTCGTTCATCATTTTTTTGCGCCATTTTACTTAATCACTTTAGATATGTCTATTTCTTCGAATAAAAATCTTTCTTTCTATAAATTCTACAACTACGCATTCATTTCTCTGATAGACTGGTTTTCACTCTTGATGTTGTTAATGTAAGAAAAATAATCCTTGCGTTTATGGCGTGTCTGTAGTATAGCGTGTCAAGGCAGCTTTAAAATTTTACTTATTATCATAATTTTTATTGTCTGCCTTTTTAGTAAAAATTTTGAAACTAAAAATTATTTATTTTTGTCAATTTAGTGGATACTGTATAAATATAGGCTTTTTAAAATTAATTCTTTTTTTGCTTTGTTGAGTTTTATGTTTTCATATAATATGTACTTTGAACATTTAATTGTAATAGTTAAAAATTAACTCAATGATTAAATTTTTTAACAATGTTTTCAATGTTTCAATCAACTATATTAAATTGTCATTATATTTTCTTTAGAAATTTAATAATAAGATTATTTTAGAGTAAAAATGTATTATGAAAGCATGGAAACAGTATGTAAACAGCATGTAATCGAACTTTCTACTACTTCTATCTCATAAGATATAACTAAGGTTCAAATTTCAATCTTTTGCTTTTCGAATTGGAATTTTTCAAACACCCTTCCTGTATGGATGGATTCTCCCAACATTTTCAATTCACACTCAGTCCTCTTTGCACACTGTCCTCAATTTCAAATGCCCCCATTTCTAATTTACCCATTCTTCCCTGCATCCCAAATGGCAATTTTCAAATCAACACAATCGCCTTTGGGTTGGCCCCTCTTCTCCAATTTCCTCACACCTCTTTTCCCACTCATTTTCCCCCATCGCAATTTCCCCACTCTTTCCCATTTCCAATTACCCATTCTTCCCCAGCCCGCCACAATGGCAATTTTAAAATCACGATCAACTTTGTGGTTGGCCCAAATTGGCCCCTTTCCCCACCCATTTTCCCCCATCGCAATTTCCCCTCCCATCTCCAAATGGGCCCATTCTTCCCCAGCCCACCACACAATGGCAATTTCCAAATCACGATCACCTTGGGGTTGGCCCAAATTAGCCCCTTTCCCCACCCATTTTCCCCTGGCAATTTCCCCACTCTCTCCCATTTCCAATTTACCCATTCTTTCCCACCCCACACCCAGAATGGCAATTTTCAAATCAAAATTGCGCGAGCCCATTCCCAATCGGCCACTCTTTCCAAATTGCCCATCTTTCCCATTAGCAGAAAAAATCACTAAAAAGTGTGTATTGTATACTGGTGCTCAACGTATTATGCAGAATCAGACCCAATAGCAAAATCAAAATTCTCGTCTAACAGAAAAGAATATCAATATGATCCATTATTTAGTTATTTGTAAGAAGAATGCACTTGAGTGAGTTGTGGTCAACGATCTGTTTACTATTAAAAGCAATTTACAACTATCAGGGAAAGAATGTAGGAATTTTCTCTCATTATGATTCTTGCCAAGCAAACTATCAACTAGGTTATCCTTTATGCGTTAGGATAAATGACTACTAGTACTAGTTGATATTTTGTTTGTCAAACCTATTTGGGTAAATTCTTTTAATAAATCCATATGATCATTGTGCATTTGCTATTAAAGAGACTATCGACGATATATAAATACTATATGAAACAAAGTCTAGGATATGAATAACTCCACTTACATATGGGATAGTTTTCGTGTGCTAGTATAAAACAACTGGATGGAACAAAAGACTTATGAAAAATGGACATACAATATACGGTAATTCAAACAACCCATGTCATTCTAGTCAACACTATCCAAGCCATATTCAACTTGAGAATGCACAATGAAGTTATTCCTATTTATGTCTCTTGCCTTGTATATGTATTCTTCAATAGTTAAAACTTGTCTTTGATTCACAAATCAGCAACTTGTCTAAAGTGCATTCTTACATCGGCATGTTGTGAAAGTCTGCAAGAGTGAGATCGTTTTTTCCAACTGCTTACCAATCTGAGTTTTCATACTACAAAACAAGTTATAAGTTCGTTTGTCAATCATCATAAAAAATACTCTTTTGTCTTTCTGTT